AGTAATGAAAGCGCTTTCAGAAATGTACCTATAATAACTCTGAAAGGCTTACTTTTGATTAAAAATAACTAAAACACGGACATCATTAATTTGTAAAGCAATAATCATTTGAAGATAGTGAGAAGATACAAGTGGCGAGGAAGTCGGAGACTCGGAGAGACGTCATTACCGCAATCAAAGCCGAAAGCCGCAGCAAGCCACGAGCCCCCGCACCCGCTAACGACGAGTGCTCTCGATAAAAATTAAAAACACGTGCAAGCCCAGCCTGAGGAAAGTTTTAATGAGAGTACACGGCTCGTTCACGTACAGATACATATATCTAGGTCCCTGTCGTCTACACACGCCACATATACCTATGTACGTAGGTATGTATTCATCTAATTACGACAGTTTCTAAACATTGAAACTGACAATTTGATGCCTGGCAACTACGTGAATTTTACATGTTAAAGAACACTGTTCCTAACTTACTCGTAGCATTTTCTTGAATTTAAGGTTCTATAAATGGTTCAATTGTACGAAGTTTTCCGGGTCAGGTAGTGATACATGTCTAGTCAATCACGAGGCCGTTTTAATAAAAAGAGTTTTTTTTTTTCAAAATTATAAAGTAATTCAAAGTTTCTTCTTAAAATCAATAAGTAGCTAATGCTGCTGTAATTATATCTTAATCTATTTTGAAACATATTTGCTTTTAAGTATAAGTTTGACACATTTTAGTGTAGTTATGCAAAAGTAACTCTATGTGACTGCAATAGTACCTCCATTACAATGTAATTAACCTATCGACATCGACATGTACATGCAGATTTTACACAGTGATAATAGACGTGATATAAATACATAGATTAGGTGCGAAGAGATGCGAAGTGCGAAGAGACCTGTAGGTAATTACACATAAAGTGTAATTAAAAATCACACATATACCTATTTAATAACTACAGTATGCAATAACACTTTTGAAATGTGCTGAGTTTAGCTAATGTTACAGCAGTGTACCTACTGTGCCAATTAAGAATTATGTTATTTATGTTCTCAAAATATACACTGTCACCTATCGTAACTAACAAAAAATAAATCATTAAAGCAGAAGCTAGACCAGTTTTTACCATCAAACCAATTTATCTAAAAGTTCAATAGATGTGTTAAAATCTTCTATCTAAAACGGTCAGTTCGATAAAAATAAAACTGATTTATAGTGCGCGAGTAAAATCTTTTTGGCAAGGTGCATTTTCCATTTATGCATATCGGTACATTTTCCGGCAACATAAAAAATCCATTAGATTTGTGCATTGGCTTAACGAGCGACGACGTGGCGTGGACGCGGAGCAGGCCGGCGGCGGCAGCAACCCTCAGTTGACCGTGCGTAAGCGGCTTTATTGCGTTCCTATCAGCGTCACCGAGCTGTAATAGACAGGTGAACAATCTGATAGCCGTTCCGTGTATCTGTTCTAATCCAATTGTACGACAACATGCCTCGTTATAATTTCGTTGCACACTGCGAATTTGCATTCATTACAATTTCTACTGAATATTCATTTATCTACAATGCCTATACATAAATATGTGTGTACCTAGATACAAACCACGTGTCCTAACTATGTTATGAGAAGATCAGCAATATTATAATCTCAGACAAATACTTTTTGACTATTATAAAAAAATGCAGGAAACGACTAACCTAGATGTATAGACACTTTTTCATAATTTGACTACCAAATGTTCAATCTAAGAATCATCATTATGTATTAAATTTGATTGATCAGTCTGTTATATTATAAGTAGTTATAGGTACGTAGTACGTAGGTATGTTTGTGGATATATGAGATTACACGTAGGTAGGAACGTAATTCCTGCGGTTTGACACAAACTAATGATGTTATATGTACCTATATAGGTAGGTACCTAATCTGACTTGATAAGCTCGCTAACTACAAACAAGAGCTAATTAATAGAGTCAGCATTTCCGTGATTAGATATTATTATTACTGCTTGAGTTAAGTTGTGTTTTATTCAGTACTAGCGACCCGCCCCGGCTTCGCACGGGTGCAATATGAATGTATTATACATACAAACCTTCCTTAAGAATCACTCTATCTATTAAAAAAAACCGCATCAAAATCCGTTGCGTAGTTTTAAAGATCTAAGCATACATACGGACATACAGCGAAAGCGACTTTGTTTTATACTATGTATTGATGATGAGAGATGTATCTAAAATTTAAAAGGACTCTCTTATAAATCTTATGACGTAAAAAAAATTGGCGAAATACTATCTAAAAAATATCAGCATACAAACTATGTATATCTATCTATATACAATCCTACCTACTCTTACAAAATAAAAGGCTTCACGATTTCATTAGCATTACAAATTAATGTTTTTATCTGTGAAATGTTATCTGTTGTAAAAATCCCAATTAATAACAAAAAGAGTACAAAAGTTTTAATTTCAGTAGTCATCAAACAGACAGATTTTATTAATCTCAATAACCCTCCTTCACTCTGCGCAGTTGGGTAAAAACAGGAATAAATTGTGAGAATCTTTGCAAAACAATAGTTGGAAATGGTGTACGCGAGAAAAAGCCGGATGCAAATGCCATTCATATTAATTAGCAAAGCGAGACGGGGCTTTTACGAAATTAGACCGTGATTTCACTGAAGATTTATTGTTGTGTTTGAAATGGTTTTCGGAGCAAAGGTAGCCATTTAGACGCAAGCAAATTGGTGTTGTCAAAGCGGGTTTTAAATTGAATTGAGTGAAGTCGCTTGTTTGCTTTGAAGGGTGAGTCATGAAAAAGGTGGAAAGCTGCTAATTTATTGACTTCGTACGACGTAGCGTATGGAAAAGTGGGAGCTTGATGCGAATGATTGATGACCGCCGGGCAACTCACGGGGATTGCGGCGACTGCGGGACACGCGGACACACCGCATAACGATTAGCTCGTAAACATAGGTAGGTAGCTACTATAATTACGTAGATAGTGCTTACTTACTTACCTAGGTACTTACTTATAATGTGGTAAAAATACCATCTATAAAGGTACATGATAAGTAATGTCGACGCACGTTATGTATATGAGGTATTATCTATAACACTATAAGTAGGTGCCAACTTCAACTAAAATTAATTATTAGAATAGATTGAATTAAAATCAAGGTATCTACATACCTATGTTGTATTGTACCAATGTGTAGACGTATCCGTAGGTAATGTTATCTCTTAGTTTTCACTATACGGCTGTCGCGTTGGCTGCGAAACGCGCGGCGTCTGCCAAACAGTCTCGAGTTCGATTCCCAGAATGGTGGGACTCGGATTGTTTTTCGAAATTTTCTCCATAGATCCTTTATTTTTGAGTACCTTATTTCAGATGGTATCTAAAAATTTGATAGGTCCTCACTTAGATTCCCTCGTTAGTCAAGTGATCGCAACTGCCACTGTTAAGTATGTAGAATGTAATCCATCCTGATTTAACCGTCCCCAGGATGTTATTATAGGATGTCAAGTTTAATTTTCAGGTCAAGCGCTGTAGGGCTAGGTACCTATATTCGCATATTTCATAAATTCTGCAATAGATAGCTGAGACTGGAATTATGCCAATAATTGTTTATACTTAGGCAACAGTGATTTTAAAATGCGTGCCGCTATATGTACTTACGCTATATGATATTTTTGGCTTTCACTGTAGAGTAGAACAAAGGTTTACTCCAAACCTTCAGAACTTTTATAAAACTGGATGACATGTAAATAGGTAGGTATTCATAAACACGAATTTACAGCAAACGTTATTTAACCAACTGGAAGATAGAATTACAAATTAGGTACTTAATGTGAGGCAAAATAAAACGAAATAATCATTTGTGCATTTTATTTTTATATTATAGGTATAATTAATTCACATGACATCACACTGGTCCTAATTGGTACCCTAGTACCCGTTTATGATTAATTTACAAAAAAAAAAATATAAAAGTTAGATAACTATGTCAATTAACAACCGTTAATGGAAAGTTGACGGCAAGATACGTAAATGCACATGTTTATTATCAATTTCTTTGCATATATAACTTGGGTACATGAAATATACATAGGTATTATATGTCTAATATTAAAGGTATATAAGTATAGGTACTGATACACATCCTCTAAAATAGTATGCTAAAAAGCGCTCTATTGAGCATGCTCCATAATCTCACGCCTCTCGACTCGCAAAGCATGCCCGAAATGAACATTCTTTCATACATTAAATGAGCATATGTATAACAGTACCTTATATATCGTATAGGGGCAAGACCACACAATTACTAAAACGATTATTTTTATTAATAAATATGAACGCGGTTAATTAAAAATAGCTGACACACAGAATCTTTCCGAATGAATGGTAGAGACGTGGAACCGAAATGAAAATATTAGATTATTATTTATAAGATAAAGTGACATTACGTAAGTAGGTATGACCTAAGTATTCCATTAATAAATAATTTGATTACATCTTCTATCAGAGATAACTCGATTGTCAAGTTATCAAGATCTTTATTTCGTATATTTAATAAAACAATATAATACGTATTCAAGTTATTTCAGGGTAAGATGTACCGAATGTGATAATGATAAGTGATATAAATAAGTATAATTCGGTAGATTGTATGATTAGGTTAGTTACTAGAACCAATAACACATACCTGTGTATATTACAGACTATAAACTTATAAAGTCTGAATTATTATATTTAAAATTAAACAATCTTAGTTCTAGTATTTACCTGGTTACAAAACAGTACAAAATTAAATTGGCACTAGGGACGAATCTTACAGATATGAAAAAATATTAATCATTACAGCTTATCAGAAAAAAATAAAGCAAAAAATATACATTGTTTTGAACTAGGGAAGTATACTTATCACATAAATAAGTACGAATTAAATTACTATTATTAGTTCTGTAATGAAAGTGCTATTAAAAAAAATATAATATATTTCTAAAAAAAATGCAAATAAACTACCTCCTACTTTATTACTGACAATATTGTGCAAAAATGTTAATACATAATTATATACTTACATTTGGCAAAATTTCGATGCGAGTTGGAAAAAATAGAAAAACAATAAAAAAATAAAAACTGTTTCCGGCCATTATTCTTGGATGGAAAACACAACTTTATTATTTAATTTTCTCATATATGTATAATACATTACGTTTCACAAAGTATGTTCTTCAAGTTTATACAATTGTTAAGTCAACTGGGGAAATAATTATTATACACATTAGCCTCATAACTTATTTTGACACCCACGGATATGTCCATCGTATAATAAATAATATAGACACAACTGTAATTTACATAAAATTTTAACACTTCCCTCTACTTAGTCTTTTCGACATTGAGATACCAAACATTTAAACAATAATTTAGGAATTTTAGTTTCGGTTCTAAAAGTTAAAATAAATACAAAGGAAGATTTATTATTTGTGTTGCTTTTGTACCTAGTAAATGCTAAAGATTATTATATGCATGTAGAAAAAATATTCAGTAATTTAACCAACTAACTATGCAGATATGACGTGGATTTATCAATAAACATGTTTAAATGTTTCATGTTGCGATATACAAACCATGTTTACATAACCTATGATATTGATAATATAATATTTACTACAAATTAATTAGCTTCACACTACGTTTAGGGATACTAAAGACAATACTAATTAGTTGATTACAAATTAAATTATCATTGCAACTTTGTAAAAACCATTATAAATTGCCAGCATTTGCATTGTGAATATACATTTTAAAGTAAGTGTGAGCCTACATCCTTAATCCTAATGCATCAAAGATCATTTTCACAAGTTTACATAATAGGTAATTAATTATTAATATAGTTATTGGTTTATTATCAAGACTCTACCAACTGACTAACTCATAAAGTATAAGTAGAAAAATAAGTAAATAAAAAGGTACAAAAATACAACAGCTTGATATAGTTATCACTAAATGCAGTAACAACCTGAATTAAAACATTTTAAATGCTTAAATTAATATTAACTTGTTCATTGACTCACTAGGTTTAGGAAACACAACCCATTAAAGCTTACTTAACATAGATAATTACAAACCAAACAAAAAATATATTTAAAACATATCACCAACTTTTCCTTACATATTTTTAAAAAATTTAATACTTTAATAGCCTTTTTTAGTTCCCAAAATACACCCATTGTAAAGTTTTTATCCATAAAATACCTAGTTGATTAGAGAGTATTACTTAGAAAATACAGCAATTGCTTCATTCAGAATACGACAAATACAAAACAAATTAAAAACAAAGGAGTGACTAATTTAAGCATAATTGTATATTAGTTACACCGCACAGAACTGCAAGGTCGAGAATTAAAAATCGCATGAAGTAATATGAGCAATTTGCGTTTGAGCTTTAATTGACAAAATGTTTTTTTTATTCAAAGTGTTGTAGAATATTGTGCATGTTTGGCCGATAATATTTATTTTGTCACAAACATGGAGGTGGTAAAGGCATATCAATCAATTTGCATACTTCTAATAGGAAATTTTTCAATATATTTGGTTGGTTGTCTCTTGATCCATTGAGTGTTATTGTTGGTATAAATGTTGGTTTCAGTATATGTGTATCATCCCCATGTTTCTTCAAAAGAGCTGATCCATGGTCATTCTTTGCACAGTAGCTGATTGGGTCAGGTTCAATCTTCATTTCCTTTGCACACTGCAAGAATTTATGATCATAATGAGTACAAGTATTACACCAACATGGTACACCCATTCAGAGCCGAGCCCGTCCATTGGTGGGCAATATTTTTTAACTGTCATGTCGAGACCGCTCATGGGCGGTTTGATATTAAACTGCAATAACTTTACGAAATAACATCAGAAAGTAATGAGATGTGTAATGATTTGTATCATTAAAATTTATTGCCAAGTCAAATGGCTTTCTTATATTTGAAGTTTTGAAAAAAGGCCAATTCTAATCTGTCATATAGAGCCCGCCTTTGGGCGAATTGACAATAAACCATTACTATTTCAGCGAACAAACAATAAAACTATCACAAATTTGCCACAAATATAGCAGACAACTGCACACACACCTTTTATGTGTGGTACAGTACATTAAAACCAAGCATATCAAAGGATTCATGTCGGAATCTGCAGCTTCATGCCAAAAACGCCAATGGACAGGTAAGAATACATAATCGGGACCACCGATGGGTGGGCTGCATGGTATAGTATGGTGGCATGGGTGATGAGTGGGCATGAATGGCATAAATGGGTTAAGTTAAAACATATTATTTCAATAAAAAGATTTCATATAAATCAAAAATATATGTGATATTTACCCTAGCAAGAGCACCATCAGCGTCCATATTATCAGAGATCATGCATTCTGTAATCTTGACAGAAGTTGTCATGTTAGCCACAGCCTCTATTGCACAAGCATGGATCCTATTTGCATAACACTCCTCTTCACCATGCTGACATTGAAAATAGTACTTTCCATTCTCTTCTTTGGTCTGTAAAAATTTAAAATGCATTACCTACACACAGTACAGTACACTACAGCATATATTTAAGTAAATGGTAGCTATGACTATGTAGGTCAAACACCCAAAATTCAGTCATCATTATATTTTTATAACAATGCCACATGATTTTGTTCAAGTATATCAAATCTACCATATTTTATAAACATGCCTTTTCAGCTTGAATTCTGCAATAATATTATGTAAGTATAATTGAGTTGTTGTAAGAAACTGTAGATATGTATGTGGTAACTGGCAGGCGATAATATATAACCAGTTTTTACACAATTTCAATTTCGTTTTATTATATAGTACTAAAGCTTATTCATAATTTAAATAAAACTGTAAAAGTGGAAATTGGTGTCACACTGGTTTATTTATTTATAACATATAGGTAACACAGGAATTCAGGTTAAATATTGCATATTTACCTTGAACACCAGTAGTAATTTTAATGACTAATATATTTTATGCCTTTTTAAATAGGTAGGTACTTATAAAATATGTTACTTAGGTATAGACACATGTAATAACAATAAAGTATACTTACAGTAGCTTTGCCATAGGGTACTAGGGTTACATCTAAGAATTCGGACAGTTTCTCAGTCACTGGGCCCAAATGTCTCACAAAGAAATGTTTAGAGTCAGGGCAGAGAGCTTCATAGTAAACCCTCACTTTTACTTTGTCTTGTTTATGCTTATTGTATTTGTCATCCTCCAACTCCACTATGCCAGCCTAGAAAATAACAATTAATGCCTAAATTAGACATTTTTAAATGCTTTTATATATAGCCTTCCTGTTTTCTGGGTCTACCCAGAAACCTTGATTTCACTTTCAAAATTTCAATCACCATTGTGTGACTTATCTACATGTTTGGTTTTTCCAAAAATGTCGTGATATGTGGGTTGGTAGATTTATTGTCGTTTTAATTTATTATACGCATAGTAGGTATGCTTTAGAACAATCAATATAATTGTTGAATTTGAAACTTAGATTAACCAAACTAAAATATACAGTTTAATCTGCATTTTATAAATAATAAGACTTGGATTACCTAAATTATTTATATACTGGTAAGTAATGGATATTGTACATACCTCCGAAATTTGTGTAACAGGTTTATCAGGCAAAAGTCTGAAGAACTGCCACATAATCAAAACCAAAAGTAACAAAACTATTAATCTGTATCTATTACAAGCATAAAATGCCATTTTAATTGATACAATTTAATTAATTCCATCCAATGTTTAGCGATAATAAATACACAGTCACTGTGTTTAGAACACCTCAATATAATAAGCAGATGTTATCACTAATGTGTCAATATCTTGCCTCGTTACAAGTTATACTTGAATTGGACTATTTTAAATCTATATCTACTTTTAAGAATATCATTTAAATTAAATTCATTTTGAAATTGATAATTAATAATATACTACACGCACAATGCTATGTAGTAAACACCTTTCAATGAATGAAGTAATGAACGAAATCGAAACACGAGTCTTGACTTTGACATTTCATCTCATAATTTTGACAGTCATGTGACCACTTAGCTCATGACGATGACATTAGGAATAACTTACACTGTCGGAATGTACTCGTTTTTAAAAAAGTACCGATTGTTTTTTTTTCAGTTATATACATATTATAGCTATCCTTTCTCATTTTTCGGTCTCTGATGACGCACTGGAATGGTTTTCTTCTTATCTTCAGGAGCGTCAGCAATCAGTTCACGTTGATGAGACCTCATCAAACTAGCTATCTACCTCAGAGGTAGAACCACTTGCAGACTGGCGTTCCTCAAGGCGGTATTCTCTCTCCTCTTTTATTCTCTATTTTTATAAACCTTATTACTTCTAAACTTCAGTGTGCCTACCATCTGTTTGCCGACGATCTACAGGTGTACTGTCGGGCTAGGATCGAGGGTTTGCCTGAGGCAATCGCGAGAGTGAACGCTGACTTAGCTGCTATATATAAGGCGGCCAACCGTCCCGTATTCTGCGGGACCGTCCCGTAATGCTAGATGTAATCCCGCTTTGAAATAATTAATAAAATAGTCCCGTAAAACGTTAGATGCGTCCCGCAAGTCCCCGCATACCTATTTCTCTACTACACGACACAACCACACGCGCACTAACAACAGCGCGAATAAATGAAGATAACTTGTTTGACGAAATAAGTTAAATGTGTAATTGAACAATGATATCCTAAAGGGCTAGAAGTAGCAAAAGTTCAGCACAGAACAACATTTTTTTTTTGTAGGAGTCATCCAATGACTTCTCCCGCCTTGGATTAGGCGTGAGGCAGTAACAGACTCTTACTGACTAAAAACCACCCCGTTCCTACTCCTGCTTAGGCCTTCCGCGGCTCCGTTTCGGGCAACAGCCCTATTGTGCCCGTCTGTGGTGGTCTGATGGCTCTTTGATGCGCGCGCGGAACGTATTTTTTAATAAGTGCTCTATGGACGTCGGAAAAATCGTCACTGAAAGTGAAAACACTACGAGCTCTGCTTGTACTTAAATTTGATATAGGAAGTTGCGAAGATTTTCATGACATACCTACTCAATAAGAATCCTGAACTTGTTAAAAAGTGTCACTCTAGAGATAAATATGATTTTAAAAATAGTTAAATAACTTTTGTACCTAATTTTTATGTCTTTATGTAATTGTAGGTGTACCGACTAAACTTTATCCACAGAGTCCCGCATTGGACTTTTAGAAAGTTGGTCGCCTTAGATATATATAATTGGTCTGAGAGGTTTGGAATAGCTGTGAACCCGAATAAATGTCAGGCGATTATGGTCTAAGGATGACAGTGCAACTATGCCACCTGTACTGTTCAACGGTGCGATCATACCATTCAGCGGCGACGTGACGAATCTTGGCTTGTATGATGACAGTAACTTAAACTGGCGTGCTCATATCACTAGCATATGCCAAAGGGTCACCGGGACACTGCGGGTCCTGTATCGTTTGAGGAACTTTCTTCCGTCCTCTGCTAAGATAATGCTTGTCCAGTCCTTGGTTTTCCCCATTATTTATTATGCTGATGTGTGTTTTTTGACCTGAATGCAGATCTACTTAGCAAACTTGACCGCCTTTAGAATAACTGCATTTGATTCGTCTTCAACCTGCGCAAATACGACCATGTCTCTGCATTTCGATTGCAACTTAAGTGGTGGTTGCCCATACGTCAGCGCAGGGAACAGCGGGCGCTAACAACTTCATTCACCCTTCTTAATTCTCCTAAATCTCCTACTTATCTTTCCCCCTATTTCCAGTATGTGAGCACTAACCACGGCATATACCTCCGTTCTTCTAATAATCTTCTGTTGCAATGTCCCACACATCGAACTGACTTCCTTCACTCTTCTTTTTTCGTCCAATCCATCTTGCTGTATGCGATGCCGACGGATATCAGGACGGCGACCAGTCGTCTGTCCTTCAAATTTAAGGTTCGTGAGTATCTACGGAAGAGGCTAGCAGACTCAACACACACTTAGGTCTTGTACGTATTTATGTATTGATATGTGTATAATTATGTATGTATATAAGTATGTTATATTAGATTAAGATTATTAGATTAAGAATTTCCTTCGTATATTTAGGTATATATATGTGCCATACTTATTTGTCTACCGTTTGCTTTGCATTACGTATATATTTTAATATTTCTTCATTATATTTAATTTGTATATATTGTGTATTATGTATAATTATATATGATGTTAATGTTAACTTTAATTTTAATATTAATTATTGTGTTATTGTAACTATTGCGTCTCTCTGCATCACCCACGGAATATAGAATACAATGGAAGTAGCAAGTAGGCGTAGCACGCGTGCCACAACTAAGCTGTGCATTGCTTACTCGAGGCAAATTCGAGTTCAGTCTCGTTCGAACATGGCGTCGAGTTGCTAGTCTCGTGTCAAATACATATTTCCTCAACTATGCCGTTTTGTTCCGTTTTGGCGTGTAAAAATAATAGCAGCCGAAAAATCGTAAAAATGGAGGTGTTCCGTATCATCGGTAAGTACAATTTTTATTGTTTTCTTGTAGAAATCTTATTTTATTTCAATTTACAAAAACAGTTATTAAAATAATATTATTTACTAAAACGGTTAGTCAAAATCAACCTTACGCCTTCAAGATAAAGTTTATTTTGGATTTATTCCATTCAATAGAACATTCTCGCCAGTTCTACGCTACTCAAATAGTGATGTAGTCAAATCACATATTGAATTTATCGATTGATATCGATGCAAGTGTAATGTAACATTTATTTAGATTATTTTTTTATTATTATTTTAGTGGTGACCCCGACGTGATTGGAAGCAACCTTCACTTCACGGAGCAGATCAGCACCGTCATCCTTATCGCCATCCCTCTCATTTATCACATTATCCATATAAAGTTTGTAAAAATTTATGTAATAGTTGTTACTTATATTGCCTATGTGAAATAAAAAAAAATGATTTTTTGAAAAAAGAAACTAATAAAAAATACGAACAAAATGGTTTTTGATTTACATGTAAATAAATACTTACACTTTTTTGTTACGTTTAAAAAGTTATCATCGATATATTAATTTTATTATTTTAATACAGTCACACTATAGCAGTCAATATTTTTATTTTATATTATTTTTAAAACACATTTTCATATTATCGATATTATTTTTATCGAATTAGGCATCACTATCTGAGTAGAGACCCGCATTCGAGCCAGTGGTAAGCCATTCAAATATCACCTTTATTCTTACAACGTTAAGTTCAAACCAAGTACCACTTTTCGTCGCTAGATGGCGTTTAAAAATGCCATCTAGCGACGAGTGGCGGTACTTCGTAGTCCAAAATATACTTTTTTATTTTGATTTATAGTGCATTGGTTTTAAAGTTGCATATCGTATGATATATGTTTTTGCATTTCGTTTACGCCCATTTTTTTTTCTAACCAATCGTAATTTCCGATTTATAGTATGAGTAAATTATGAATGTACTAGTTTGGCGACACCGGTTCTGGCAGAAATATTGTTTCAAGCTACTTCCATTGTATTCTATATTCCGTGGCATCACCCTAAGGTTGACTGTTAGAGAATGCCACTAGGCATTAAGTCCGCCATTGTATACCTACAAGAAGTGTAAATAAATAAATAAAAAAAAATAAAACAGATAAATGGGCATTTTAAATAGCAAAAGTTATACCTATAAAAAACTTAAATTTTTTATAGGTATAACTTTTTTGCTCAATGTGTACAAGGCGCCAACGCCAATCGTACACCAACATCAGTCATACATACCTGGTAAATAAGGACAAGGAAAAGGAAATAATATATCAAAATACAATAAAAAAGAACCATTTCGATTACATTAACTTCTATTCAGTCAATTGTAAAGCAGCAAATTTTTCAACATCATAAAATCCAGCTTTAACTTGTCGTCCTCCAAAAAATCTGCCATTTAGGTCGACAACAGCTTTGATTGCACTTTCGATACGTTTAAATTCAACAAAAATTCTGACAGCTTCATCTGGTGGCGCATTAGGCATCTCAAATATTAATACTTTTATAACATCTCCATATTTAGTATTACATTCATCTTTTACTTCAGGTTCTAATTCTTCATCTACATCTCCTGGACCAACCATATTCTGTAAAAAAATATTATTTATCATAATACTATCAGTACCATCAGTAGCAAATTATTTTTATTAAAAAAATAATGACTAATGACTGTTGACTCTGTGCAAACTAAAACTTTTATTTCTTGCATTCAATAAGAGTAATACAAATTGGCACATACTCTCAACAACACCACTTTACTGGGTGATTTCATTATCTCTGTAATGGATGGCTCCCGATTAAATGAATGTGGTGAATTGGAGGCATTTGGAGAATCTGAAAAAACATAAAGGTATAGTTAATAATAAAAATACTTGTTCATTCAATTAAGCATGTAGTATCTAATCTATTTCCAATACTTTTAAGACCAACAGGAATATAGATTTTTATAATTATAAAAAGGCAGTTACCTGGTCCTGGTAAGGAAGGCATAGCAAATCCAGGTGGAGGCATAACAGAACCTCCATCCTTCTCATGAATAATGCGACCACCTCTTTTTGAAGTTTTTTCCACTTGCAGAGCCACTGACATTCCTTGTTCCTTTTTACCCAATCCTTGACCTTCCTATTGACATGAAAAAAATTTTATAATTAAGATAATAAAGCAAAAATTAAGAATGTAATAAAATCAAACTAATCTATACATTCGACATAAACTAAATAATAAATAACTAGAGCTAAGTTAAATAAAAAGCTAGTTCTTTTTCCAAATTTTTTTTTTCTATACACAAAAATGAAAAAAATATATATTCAGAAAATTACCTTAAAGCCATATTTAGCCATGATTTTAGCTGCAACAGAACTTGCGCCGTATCCTCCAATAGAGAAGCCCACAGATGGGGGTGGTGTTTGTATGGTTGGAGGCATTGGTGGAGGGGATGCTGTTTCCACAGTCAAGGATGGCGGAGGTGCTATTGCTGCACCAGCTGACCTCTTTGATATTTCCTCTGCTTCCTCTTCTTCTGGTTGCTACAGAATATAAAATGAACAGATTAACATTAATTTGAAGGAACCACATTTTGAAATAACAAAATTTCACAATTCATATCAATACATTGTAACTGGGTATTATTACTTAAATACTAATGCGTGACATCAAAGAAAATGTATGATTTACCATTGCATCCTGAAAAATATCCTGTTGCAAGATTGTAAAAGACAATTAATAATATGTAAAACAAGGGTGAAATAAAATTTAACAACTAGCAACTTAACAAGTGCCCAATATTTTTTAGCTATAATACTTAAGTCTTACCATAGCCACAAGAGTTTTTTCTGGTACAATCTCCTCCTCATCACCAAACCTACTTTTTCGTTTCCTTTCTGATCGATCACCTCGATCCCCATCTGACTGCAACCTTTTTGCTTGTATTTCTGAAACATATGAGGACTTAGTACTACTAACTCCTTGGAACCGGAAGGACCTAGTACTTATAAGAAAAAATGTTTGTGCAGCAACCTTTCATAAACTATAATTGAATGATAAAAACACTGTAAACACTTGAGTGCTGACAATCTAACAAATTATGTAAAAGAAAATGACCGCTTTTAAAGTTCAAGTGAAAATCACCAAGGAAGACCATTGTGAAAGTCAAAACCAAATATTAAAATAATTAAAAGTCTGTTGGTCAGTTCTCTAGTGAAGCAATTTGTTCTTTCCAAAGTGCAGATTCTTATAGAGAAGAATGAGCACAAAATTCCATAGGTTCATTTAGGTTCTTAAATCTACTAGTCAATTTAATGTAGTTAATTAAAGGACTCTTACATTTATGTAGATAAAAATTAATTTCTGTTTATTAGTCTCGCAAAAACTCGAGAACAGCTGAATCAATTTGGCTAATTTTGGTCTTGAAATGTCATAATCATGTATAATCATGTCATAATCATGTATTATTACATGATTAGAATTCATTGAAACTTCAATGTTTTTCGCTATCCTGTGGACCAGCCTGCTTCCAAGCATTTTTATCCTCTATATAATCATAAGTTTATGCTTGTCTATATAATGTTTTTTTAATATATTCTTTTGTTTCATTTAAGTGTTGTATTTCTACCAGAATTATTGTAGGGACATATGTATTTTTGTCAATCTAAAAGTTGACTGCCTTAATTTATCCTTGTGTCTAGTTTGATAGAGGTGTATGTCAGACACTATCAAACAACTGTAGGTTTTTTGTAACATACATATTTTCATTGTGTAAATTGACATGTAATGATGGAACTGTCATATTATTGATCGTCTTAAACTTTTCTGTGACATTTCACGACAATTTAGGTTGTAGATAGGTCTGACGCCGCGCTTTTGTAAGATAAAGATAGACTCAATGTCAGCAGTGTGTTCACAAAAGTAACTGAATTACACTAGTCTTGCCGTGTCTATGTCAGTTAACTGACGGATCTTCCAGACAGCATAAGCAGCACAGTTTATTCGTCCCGCTAAAGATGAAATACGAGGACCCCATTACAAAATTGAATTTGTAAAAGTGGTCTCTTTTACAAATTCTAATTTCTGACTATTTAATAATACATTTTTTATCACATTTGTTATCTTTAACATTCGTTAACATCGTTTTTTTATTGTTCAGCACTAAGTTATTTATTGTAAATCAATGTTGAACCTTCATCAGAGCATTATTTATGTCATTATAATTATTTGTTGGTCTATTTATTTTAAAATCAAGTGTGTCATCAGCAAATAATACAATATGCGGTTCATTATAAAATAAATGGGGTCAATCATCATCAATACTAATTGAGCCCTACTGTATGCCTATTATAGATATGCTGGCACCATGTGAATTTGCTTTGTTTACTTGTACTAAGTTACCAATCCTGAATGAACATTATACAATACCTTTGGCAACCTTTTCATAATCATTAGGCCACATTGGATCATATTCATTAGCAACATTCCAATCAAAATCTCGAACATTCAGCGAAGCTGTCAAAGTTTTTCCTTGGCTTTTAGGACTGTTTGAATTGGATTCGTCATCATCCTTTTGTTTGCTCTTCAAATCTATTACCGGAGTAAGCACCTGAAGATTTCAAAGATATTAAAACCTCATAATCAATTAATATACTTCTTATCAACATTGAACAATAATGAAATTGTTATTACCTGAGTAGAACGTCGTAAGGCTTCACGCTTGGGCTGGGTGACTGCTGCTTTTTTTAATTGTAACTGAGATTGTAGTAGTTTTATTCCCGAAGACCAACCCGCCACCTTTTCGGTGGTTCGAGCTTTAATTGTATCAAGATCGTCATACAGCGACATCCTTGTTTTTGTTTACCAAGACATACAACAAGTGTTTGAAATACACCGCCTAGAAAATAATAAATATTGATTTGGGACATAGCTTGTTAACATCACAAATATATGTACTTAAAAAAGCATTAAAAAAAATTGTTAATTCACAAAACAACACACCGTATTCCTGCAATACCCAAAAAATCCACAATCTAAGTAAATGTAAACAAAATGTCACTGTCAACTGTCATTGGTTAAAATTACTTCATAGACCAGACCATAGTTAAAAAGTAGAAAAGGAATAGACAATTGACAAATCATTTTCTCATTACTAACTTTGACTCACAGTCACAAGTTCCGATTAGCCAGCCTGCCTGCCTGCCAGCTGTTTGAGATAGCCAGCTGATTAGTAAGTTATAGTTGCATTCAGCAGGGCACCTAGCTCGGAGAATCGACGGCCGCCGATGAGGCTGGGGGAGAAAGGTTCTCGAGTGGAGACCACGTATTAGGAGGACTTTCACTCACAAGATGAACAGAGTCCAGAGGACCTGATTAAGGTCGCAAGTGGCCCATCTGTAAGTCATTGGAAGAGGCCTTTGTTCAGTAGTGGACGTCTTGTGTCTGATATGATGAGGATGATGCTATGGTTTAAGAATACCAAAAAACTATAGCGTACATATACCTACAGTGCACATGGTCATGTACATACATGAGATTTACAAAATCATAATTACGATTAAGGACAATATTTTATACTTAGATTAGAAGTTTTACATTGCAATTAAGACGTTGAAAATATTTCGACAAAAACAAAAGAGTTACAAGTTATAATATAGGCATACCCCTGTACTTATTATACTCTTTGGCCATACCAAACTTTTTATTATTTTCAGATATTGACTCTATGATTTATTAATTTTTCATAGAAATGAATAGCTACATTTTCGGAAAATTTTCGTTGTTGTTACCACAAATAAATCTATAGATATATCTATCATATAAATTATATTTTCGAAGCAACATTCAATGTTTAGTTGGAACTAATTTTACCTATCTAATGGGGACTTACATTAGTAAAGATACTCGGCGAATCAGTTTTGATAATGACTTTGCATTAAGTTCTCCTATACCCCTTCAAAAATCTATTGAAGCAGAAAATGTGATAGCATTTGATAACCTACCACCAGTGAGTTTGAATTGATATATTATCGTCTAGATACGTAAATCGAGCTTCGAAGTCGTTTAACATAAAGTAAAGATGGTTCATGAACATGATCACCATAATTTTGTATTGTCCAGTTATTCATGGTCTATGTCTAAGCCTTCAGTCAAAATGTCTGCGGTCTTTGAGGACGCAGAGTTAGACCTCTACTTTCTAAGATCC